ATTGCTCCTTGTTACTGTGCGTACGGCACGCATTCCTGCAACTTATTATGACAAAAGTCGTTTTTAAATGTATTACACTAGGACCGTACTGGCTGTAGCCAGTTTAAGACGTATAAGGACATCTTTTTAAAATTCCACTGCTTCGGCTAATTATAGGCTTTGTAGCCAACCCTCTAATTTCTTATTCTTCACGCGCCGTCGGTGTAATGGTATATGGATCCACGCATTTTAGTTGACTTTGTGCCAAACTCTAGGTGAAGTTTTGGTTAGCACTAAGGTTAAAAGGGATAGTATTAGGGACCCAGGACTAGGTACCGCACTTGGAACTTGACACAAGGTCACCTGTGGTACGGGGGGTCCACATATACATGTCAAAAGACAACACTCGATAAAAATATAGACGATTTTTCAATTATGACATTGCTTCACGGTGACCGGGGTTTTTACTTCGTTGTAACCATTTTAGCGCTTTCTGGGCAACAGTCATATCCTGCTCAGGTGATGGCTTGGCCTGAGTCACCGCTCAGTAGTAATTAGAGTAGACTGCATGGCAGGGCGGGTGAGCTTGGTAAAACCCTAAGTGCCTTGGCCGTGGCACTAACCCTTACGCCGCATTTATCTCCTCAATGCGCAAATTACCGAATAGAGAGAAATTGACGTGTCCAGCTCGGTCGAAGAGCTTTAGCAGACCTGACTCGCGATCGCAATTTTTGTATTAGGATTTGGCCCTATTTCCTATAGTCTTCACTGCGAAAAAAATTGGGTAACAATTGGTCACCCACCTTAGATACCCCTAGTCTTGTAGAATCTTTTGCCTTTATTAGTTTTAACTTATTTTAGTTTAGTTTTGGTTTAGTTAGAAAGCACTAACGCTAGATAAATATACTTAAAGAACTACTGTATACTAAAAGAACTAAAGTAAGCTAACTAAAGTAGTTAACTAACTGACTAACTAAAGTTAAACTAATAAACTAAATAATAAAGTAAAAATTAAACTTACTAATACCACCGGTCCCGTAAGACAGAATTCTGGGGATAAGGGTATCTAAGGTGGGTGACTAACTTAACTGTTATCTAGAATTGTGTCTCATATTACTTGCTAAAACATTTCATTTTATTTGCAGAACCTTGACAGAGCTCTCGGAAAAGACACAGAGAATCCTCAGAATGCTTGTCTGCAACTTTCCAATGTTTAGAGTCTAACACCGAGCATGCTTTGTTTTTTTCCCCCAGAGTGTGGTCCTAATTACACCCGAAAAATGGAGACCATGTTCCAGGACATCGAACTGAGCCGTCAATTAAGCAAGAACTTCCGTGCTGCCCAGCAGACCCCATATCCTATAGACTTCAATGTTAACGTCATCAGTCCGGCCTCATGGCCTCAGTATCCGCAGCTTGCTGCCAACTATCCTCCCGCTGTGAGTAGCTATTTGTTTATATTGCATCTTTTTTATTTCATGGCTGCATTCTCCTACTTGCCCAGCCGGGTATTTAATTAACTCGATTGTACGTACTCAATACCCGGTAGGGATGACGTATATGGGAGTTGGCTCCTGGGATTTTTATTCTTCATGCAATTGAGTCAGGAATTCGCACTTCGGACAGGCAGCAGGCATCCACGTGGTGCTGCTAAAGACTGCGCGCCGTCAGGCTTTGGGTACGAGGGTACAGCAAAGTTCGCACATGCTAGCATCCACTACCAAAAGTAGTTCAGTCGCATATCATTCGCGGAACGCGTCGCTTTCCGTGGACGCCGTAGCATGGATCGTGATACAATAATTAGAAATTTTTCATGAGATTTCTTGGGCATTTTGCATGTAGACGAGTCCCCAATAGCCGCTCAGACTATTTGTTCGAGGTTGTCTCCTCTAGCGCTGACCCTAGCTACAGGGCAGCAGTGGCAAACTTATTAGTTTATTGGCTGTGAACGTTCGCCATGTCACAGTGCCGTCATTGGGATTTGCGGCATTACATAAGGCGGTCTTGTGCCAGCCGTCAACCCTCCGCGCTCTGGTCCATGACTGCTTATTCGCCAGATCCGAGAGCCT